TCCAGCAAAAGGGCTGGGACCCCATGACAAATATGTATGAGGAATGGAAGTAGAGGTGGGATGGGGTGATGAAATTTACTTTTCAATTTATATGTCTGAACTTCTTTTATTCTTACTAAGTGCTTACTAAGTGCTTGGACAGCTTTTAAAATTAAAATTAAATATAAAGAAAGGGACAGATATGTGACCAATGTCAAACATGATTTGCATGAAATAAGTGGTAAAAGTAAAACAAAATCATGTGTAAAACACTGCAAACATGTCTATGAATTCATTCAACAAAAATCTGGAGTGATATAATAAAAAGAATTTACTCTGTGGAATCAAAAACAATGTAGCCTCAAAAGAGATCCATGTAACTTATTCATACATTTTTTTCCTCCCAAACAAAACCCTTCCATTGACTTAAAGTGCCATAAAAAAATTTTTTTTAAATGGCGTACTTCATATTTTTGTGTGTGACTCCTATTGCAAGCACCTGAGGCCATATCTTCAGTCTCTCTATTTTTGTTCTCGGCTCTTCTAAAGGTGGCATTTCCTAAGGCCAGGGATTGGTTACTTCTGCCAGGCTGCAGCATATATTTCTTATTTTAATGAACACTAGGCATCTTAACAGCCTATCTGAGCCTGCCACTATAGAAACAGGGACTGAGGCAGGGAGTATTCACAGACAGCAAAGTGACTTCACTATTAGAGTTGTTTCTGACAAAATGACTACAATCTTCAGAACAAGATTATTCAGGTTATAAAATGTCATTTTAAGCAACCTGATAATAAGTTAAACTAAAAGGCCTATAGAAATCCACCCATAACCACTCCAAGAGAAACAAAGTCTTATGACAACCTAAGTCATTCTCATGTGCCACCCTAGAAAAGGTAAGTGCACTATAATAAAAGGTTCTTGGTACAACTTTTTACTCTACTTCCTGAGCTTGCAAACTACTCAGCAACAATTCAGTCCTATGGAAATAAGGACTCTCATATACTTCTTATGAAAGTATAAATTTAGCAATAAATTTCAGAAATCCTAAATAAATTACATACCTAGTGGTACAATAATTTTATTTCTAAGTCTGTATTGCAAGGAAAATAACTGAACGTGGGTGTAAAAAATTATGGTACATTGGTTAATTGTAGTACAATTTAAGTAGCTGAAAACTAGAAAATTACCTACATATTTAATGGTATAGGTTGATTAAAGAATTTCTATACATTCATTCACACAATGGAATAGTATGCAGCCATTAAAAACGACAGACTAGATGCTTATTGATATATGTGATAGACTGTATTATTGGCCCCAATTCTCCATACCTTCCTGTTTCCGGGACCTTTGCCATGTAACTTAGCCATGCCTTCCCACTGTGGACAGGATGGAAATCTCCACCCCTGGGCTCAGCCATGTGTTATGTTTTGATCAATGGGATGGGAGCACATGTGATATAACAAGAAACTTAAAAAGCGCATGTCTGATTAGGCTTGCTTACTGTTGTACCTCTGCCACTGCTATGAGAAGAACATGCTTACATTAGTCCCCTGGTCGAGGAGAATGACAGACATGGGTGCAAAGCCCAGCCTAGATTAGCAAACTCCACCCAGCCACTTGTACATGAATAAGCCCCAATGAAACCAGCCAACTGACTAGCCACGTCCAACCTAGAGCAACTGACCTGAAGCTGACTTACAGATGTATCAGCTAAATAAATGCTTGTTGTTGTTTTAAGCCACTAAGTTTTGGAGTGATTTATTAAATAACATTTTTGTGATACTAGTTAATTGATGCAATATTTAAAAGTCTGGATGAAAAATGGGAGAAAAATCTGGAAATATATATACCCCAAATGCTAATGGAGGGACATCTAGTTAAAAATGGTAGATCAATCAACGTGTTTATCATCTCTCCCTCCAAAAACCTCACCAAAATGACAATAAGTGAGTAAAACTGGTATTAAACAACGAAGAAGAGAAGAGTATAGCAAGATAAAATTTAACACAACAGTAAAAACCATAAAGCAGATGAAAGAGGGGTAAATTACTTAGTAATATGGAAGAAATTACAGCTCAGTGGTATACAGAGAGGAATACTAATAAAAATTAAGCCAACTCACCCCACAGAATTTCTGAGAAATTCAGCACCTGAGGGCATCAGGTACTATGGAAGGTGAGGGTAAGGTACAGAGGTGAAAATCAGGCTGAAAGTTTGTATACAGACTTGTTAGAACCACAGGTCTCAGAACCACAGGTCCCACCAACTATGTGCAGCCAGGTGACTACTCCACATACCCCATCCCTCTAACTTTCTACTCCACCTGCAAGGAGACCACCACTCCGAAGAAAGTTAACTAAAGAGGCATTAGGAGGTCTAGGAGCTACTAAGCACAGTAAAGAGCTAAGGACAGGTGGGGGCTGAAAAGTAATGAGATTACATGAAAGTCTATAGACTGAAATCAGCCACCTTCCCTGTTCCTGCTCTCACAACTCCAGCAGCCAGTCACATGCAACCTCTACCCCAAACCAACTCCAACTCTGCTGCTTCCCAGAAGAAAACTGGAGGATTCCTCTCTGGAAAAACTGAATAGTTTCAGAGGAAAATAAAACCTATGGATGATGACATTTAGGGATGCCTCCAACAAAAAAGGCCAGCCCACTGCCTGATCTCCCTACAGTGAAAATAATCCAGCAACAAGCCCTGCCCATGCACAGAGTCTCCAGTCAACACATTAGTACCTCACTCTTAAATAGAAACAGACAGTCAGGATCCCCATACGTAAGAGAGAACCCTCACATAATAAAGAAAGAGCCTAAAACAAATGGGAATTGGGGGGAAGAAGAACCAAGAGGACAAAGAGTCTATGCTTGGGACAAATGGAAACTAAAAAAAAAAAAAAAAAAAAATACTCAGAGAGATAAGAGAGGATATTGTGGTGATAAAAACAGGATGGGGTTAGCTGGTTAGCAGGGCTGGTGAGAGTGCAGCCTTGCAACACCAAGGTCAAGGATCTTCATACCAACCAGCCACCAAAAAAATAAATAAATAAAAATAAATAAATAGGATGCTTCAAAGAAACAAGTAGAGACCAAAAAAGGACATACAAATATAATAAATCAAATAAAAATACAATAGAAGAGTTGGAAGATAAAAACAAGAAAATATCCCAGAAAAAGAAAAAGTAAAAAGATGGAACAAATAGAAAATAAAATATGCATATTGACCAATGAAGAAAGTCCAACATCTCACGAAAATCAACTACATTGTATATTAATAAATTTAAAAAAAAAAAGAAAGTCCAACATCCAATAGACATCCAAAACCAGAGGACAAAGGAGAGAAAAATAGTACTGGAACACCTTCTATAACTAAAGGACACTAGTTTCCATATTGAAAGGGCCTACTGAGTGCCCAGCATAATGAATATAAAAAGACCCATGTCAAGAAACAGCATCATGGGAGCCGGCCCGTGGCTCACTCGGGAGACTGTGGTGCTGATAACACCAAGGCCACGGGTTCGGATCCCATATAGGGATGGCTGGTTAGCTCACTGGGTGAGTGTGGTGCTGACAACACCAAGTCAAGGGTTAAGATCCCCTTACCGGTCATCTTTAAAAAAAAAAAGAAAGAAACAGCATCATGAAATTTCAAAACACTGAGGATAAAAAAATCTTAAATCTTTCAGAAAGAAAAGTTGAGTTAAATTAAACAAGGCCATGAAATTACTCAGCAGCAACCAACATGCTAGAAGAGCAAAGTCATACCTTCAAAATTCTGAAAGAAAAGTTATTCCAGTCTACAATTCTCTACCCTACCCAACTATTAATTTGGTGCCACACTAGAACAAAGATATTTTTCAGACATGGAATGACTCAAAATATATATCTTATATACCCTTTCTTTGAAAACTACTAGAGGAAGTACTCCAGAAAAACAGAGGAGAAAATCAATAAAGGAGAGAAAGAATCCAGGAAAGAAGGAATACAGCACAGGAGAATTATGAAGGAAAATTCCAGTATGAATAGCTCTGCACTGGGCTCTAAGAACAACCAGGACAGATTTGGGCAGGATGAAGGATGTGAGAGGGACGTCTCCAGAAAAATAATGGAACAGACCATCTGATATATTTAAGTGTTGTTAAAAAAAAAAAAAAAAAAAAAACATTGTTAGTACTTGACAGATCTAGTGGAGCACATAGAGGAAAAAATAGTGCTTGGTACACAAAAACTAAGCAAAAAATCAAGTAATAAAAGACAAGTATTAACTCCAGGAAAAATAAAAGGCTGCACAAGAAAAAAAAAAGTAATCATATTTACTACTTTGGGCACAACAGTGAATAATACATATACAGTAGTGTCATAAAATATAGGTACTGACTACTGATTTAATCACAACTGTGATACAACTGCTGTAGGAAAAACAGGCAGGGAAGTGGAGATATTGGTATAAAAGACCTAAATCTTTTATCTCCCATAATAGGAATGCAATAGATAGTGTCTAAACTTTATAATTCATGAAATAGCCATGTAAGGACTTATGTAGAAATATGGAAATAAATACTCGCAAAAGCCAGAAAGTAGTTGCTTTGAAGAAGTTGAACTAGGGGTGGGAAGAAAGAGGCAGAATACTGCTACTCTCATTATAAGGCTTTTAGAACTTTTTAAAAAACTATGTTAATAGTGACTCTCTGAGTAGCAGATTTTCAGGATGTTTTACCTTTTTTTTTTTTTTTCTGGGTAGCTAGCCAGTAGCAGGATCCGAATCCATGACCTTTGTGTTGCAAGGCTGCACTCTAACCAACTGAGCTAACTGGCCTGCCCTTCAGGATGTTTTAATTAATTTTTTTCCTCTTGATTTACCTAAATTTTCTATAATAATCTTGCACTACCTGTATAATTTTATAAAAAGTGTTTTTAAGTGTTGCAGTTTTTTAAAAACAGCCATAGCCTAAGTGTTACAAAACCTTGCATAAATCAGGGACTGAGTTTTATACTCTCCTTCAGGGCCTTACCTTTTATCGTAGTCAAAATGAAGAAAGCAATGAGGGTGTTGTTGATGGCGCATGTAGACTTGGCAACACAAGACAAGACCGTGTAGGGATTTAAGAGATAGCTGGGGAAGAATACACATATTCGGCGTTAGTAACCCCAGTCAATGGACCAGGGAGTCCTGGCTACCATAGCCAGGAAGTTCAAGAGATTTACTAAAAGCATACTCAAAGGAAGACAAATTCTTAGAAATGAGTTCTCCTAGGAAAAACAGAATGGAGTCGGGAGGGGTTGGGGTCAATGAGTTGAATAAAAGGTAAAACTGTCATATTTAATCATCACAGAGATCCTGTTAACTAGCAATAACATTATTCCAGTTTTGCAGATGAGGAAACTGAGACTTGGTGGTTAAGTAACTTGCCCAAGTTTTCACAAGATAATATATACATTCAAAATCAGCTCTTTAAGCTCTAAAGCCAAAGTCTATTACTTTAGACTTCAAAAATAATAAAACTCTACCAATACCCACAGAGCCAGATATCTTAGGAATGGCTACAGTTGTCTCTGGAAAACAGAAAAGTACTTCTTCCTCAATCAGGTTCCTAATTTCTGACATGGGCCACACCAATCCAAAAGGCAGAGCAGCTTAGATTTAGCCCTCTTGGTGGTCAAGCAGTATCCAATGAGACAGAACCCCAAAACAGAATAACTGAATTCAGCAAGCCAGTTGCCACAGAACTTCACAGGACATCTTGACCTTCCACTGGAAAGGAGTTATGCCGAAACACCTAGTCTTTTCCTGAGGAAGGAAAGAACTGAGAAAATGAATTTGAAATGCTTGTGAGTAGAGAAATCTTATAAAGTTATAATGGATTATTATTTTTATTTATTTCTATCCTGCTTCCACAAAGGATTTGAGGCAGCTGAATGAAAACAGATAATAAAAAGTAAAAATAGAAATAAAAAATCAAGACCAGGGAAAATGTAAATAAAAGGAAAAAGTAAAGGCAAGGGAAAGAAGACCAAATGAATCTTCTACAGCCCTGTAATAATCAGCTTTAAATCTGGCTCTAAGTTTCCTGGCAGACAAAGTAAAAATGTAGACCAGTTACGTAATGCTGAATATTAGATAGGAAGAAACATACCAGTGTCTCAGGAAGAGATTATAATTATTAGTCACACATAAAGACCTGAAATCCAATATCTCCCAGGACTGTAAGATTAGCAGTTCTAAAGCCAAAGGCCTAGAAATTGTTGGCATTTTTTTTCCCAGCAATTACAGGTAGGCTTGTTATACAACTTTTAAAGAAATGGTTGCGGCTATTACAAAATTATCCCCTGGAGACATATGAGTCCATAAGGGATTTATAATGTTGTTAAACTTCTGGTTCTACTATGGTAGTTTCCACCAATATTTTCGAAATACACAGATGTGAACTGATGCCCCAAAATTATCTGGTGGAAGGAAAAAAGCCATTTCTAAATAGCAGGTGATGCTCATGAAGCAGCTGCACAGACACTTATCTGGAATACTGAATAGGAAATTCACACACAGAGAGTTGAATAAACTATCCCCATAAGGCCCCTTCTAATTCTGAAGTTCTAAGGGCACAGTTTTCCCATGAGGAAACTTGTCTGTCTTGTTTACAGTGTATCCCTAGAAACCAGTATATTATTAATATTCAATGACTATTAGCTGATTGAATAATTATTCACATTTGTCTATCTCAGGAATTTAAACAGGAATAACCTGAAATAATTAAACTTAATGACAGCACTGGATACTCCTAGAGAATTCTTTCATAGAGACTCAATAAGTTCTACACTTCCCCACGGGTCACCCAGCTGGGATGGGTCTGTTTGCCACTTTAGCTTTCTGAACTACAGATGGGGGACTACATTGTACATGAAACATGGGAGGTGCTCAAAACAATGGCCACATAAAGACCAAACTTTTATTCAATCCGTACACCACAACTGAAAAACTTTTTCTTTAGAAACACTGGTTACAAGTAGGCTACAGCCCACATCAGCATCAAGTCAAAAAGTATTTGTAAAAGGTTTGATTGTGTGTGTCCCTGTGTAAGTCTTTGTCCCAACAGACACAGAATGGCTCTGTCTCTTTTGCTGGCCAGAACTTCAGTTGTGCAACAGAACTACAGCAAATACTTGATGACTAAGACTGCAAACCTCCAAAAATACAACAAATGACATGGGAAAACCTCATCAGATTTTCCTTGCATTCACTGGCACTGAGCCCCAATTTGTCAGGGAATACTTACAACAGGGCCACTTTCAGAGGGATGTACCGCATCTCCGTAGGGGTTCGAATAAGTTCGGCCACATCTGGGGCATACTGGTCTAGTTCTAGAAGAAGTTTCTGCTTTTTAAACTGGAAAAAAAAAAAAGACAAAACACATGAAACAAATTACTTCCCATTGTTTTAGGATGAAGACAAAAGTCCTTTCCATGGCCCACATGGCCCTGCCTGGTCTGGCCCTACCTCTCCAGGCTCATCTCACACTCACTACTCCCCAATTCCACCTCCCACTTGCTGGGTTCCAGCATCAAGAACATACCACATTCCTCCTGCTCCCAGGCCTCTGCATTTGACCTGGAACAATTTCTTCTACTCTTTCCCTACTTAACTCCCTCACGGTCTTTGGATCTCAGTCACATAAGCATTTCCTCAGGAAGGCACACTCTCACACACCACCACCACCCCCAGCTAGGTAAAATTCCCTATTATACACTTTCTTTTCTTTTCTTTTTTTTTTTTTTTGTCTTTTTCCGTGTCCAGCAACGGATCGCAACCCTCAGTGTCGCCCCCGTACCGGACCGGGACCGGCAACGGGATCGCAACCCTCGGTGTTGCTCCCGCACCTCGCTCAGCCAGTGAGCGGGAACCGGTCTGTATGTGGGATCCGAACCCTCGGGCGGGAGCACCGCCGCGCTTCCCAAGCAGCGCACTATAGCAGTGCACCACCGGGCCGGCCCCATCTATTATACACTTTCTTTCATAGCACTGTTCACAGTTATAACTTTTTGCTTCATTTATGTGACTAACTAATGTCTATCTCCCTCACTAGACTATGAGTTCCACGAGGGCAGGGACCATGTTTATTTGCTCACCATGTATGCCTAACACCTGGAATGGGGCAAACAGTAAATATGTGTTGAATGGGTGAATGAATGAGTGGCAAAGCAAAGTTCTTAGCGTTTTGAAGAGTTATCGTCAGTCAGTGGCCTAAAAAACTCCAGAGTTCCATAAGGAAAGCAAAGTATTTTCAAGAAAGGTAGAATGATCCTGAATGTCATCATATCTTGGATTTTCTTCCTCTTGTTTCATGTTTTTTACTTCCACAGAGGAGGTGTAGAATGGTCATAATGAAGAAAAGGAGAACAGATGAGTGTGGCTCGGCAGCTGGATAATTATGAGCGAGTGGGATACGGGTAGAAAGCTCTTGCTTTCCCCAGATGTGTCCCATCAAGTTCATGGGTGTGTTCACAATCATGGGTCAGAATATAGATGAAAAAAGACTCTGAACCCAAAATGCATAGTCCTGCTGGTTTAATGATCAGAGAATTTTATTTAGACAGTATAAAACCAATGTTGTAAGCTATTAAAAAACAATATTATTTCAAAGGAGCCAAAGTAACATGTGCTTAACTACCTGTGTGTGATTAAATATTTAATGATAAAAAAGCATATCACAATAGAATATAATTGCATTGTACCATTTACATAAAGTTAAAAGCATACAGAATAATACTATATGTTATTTAGGGATATTTAAAAATGTAGTAAAAGTTAGGGCTATGTGGGTAGGAATGATAACCACTAAATTCAGAAGGTGGGAGATAAGGAGATGAAATTATCAGAGAAAGGCAAACTGTACGTGTGATTTTTTTCTTCAAGCTGAAAATAGGTTCACAAATATGTATTATTCTTTACCTATTTTTGCATGACTTACATATTTCAGAATTTTTTCAAAAACTTAATTCTTTTTAGAAGAAAATCTTCCAGTTCAAAAGAAAATCAAGAGGTCATCAGAGGAATACAAGCATACTTCAAAAAGTTCATGGAAAAATAGGACCCTGATACAACCCCAGACTTCTTGCATAGGTTTAGGTAGAGGATTAATCAGAGAACCTGACACAAACTTCAAAAACTTCCCTTTGATCATCTCTATGTTCTTCTCACAGTTGGCAGAGTCCAAGTTAAGTGGTGGGAATTAGCATCAATAAGATTTATGGTGCCATTCACAGCTGGGGTTGTTTAATTAAAAGGATAAAATAGAAACTAAGGTGCTTTTATCAGAGAGAAAGGGGCTGGCTCAGCAATCAAAGCACTTAGTGAGGACAGCTGCAGCAGTGACAGAAGGAAGGAGTCCCTACTAGCTAAGAGTCCTGGAGTTCTGCAGCAAAGAGGCTGCCACCTGGAGGGGATGAGCCCCACAAAGAAGGCTTTTGGAAGGAAACACCGAGTCCATCCAGGGGCAGCCCATTCACCAGGTTGGAAGCCAGCCAGCAGGGCTGCACTGAGATGTGGAGGGAACTACCAGCGAAGTGCAGTTCCTAAGCAAAGGAAGTGGGTAACAGAAGAAAATCACTTCCTTGTAACCTTAATCTTCTCAAATACTTAAAAACAGAGAGACTTCCTGAAAGGAGAGTTCCAGGAGGGAAGGGCAGTGAAGTCGGCAGTGCCCACATTCACTGCTACCTTTTTGTCTCCCTCAGTCTCACCAGCACAGCCACCATTATGGCTGGCCTCATAGGCCTGATATCAGCTCTTCTAAGTACTGGTAAAAATCTCTTTTTAAAATCTCCATTGCAAATAGCTAGAGACAGGAAAGTGACTAAAAATCTAAGAAAAAATTTTTTTAATTATACACACATGCACACACCCCCCCCCCAAAGAAAGTATTAGAAGTACAAAAACAAATGAGGTTAGGGAGTACAATTTAAAATCCAAAGGTAAATATTTTTAGATATATCCAGCAGTCTTGACAATGAGATTGAAAGCAATGACATAAGAGTTTAAAAATGACCTGAAGGTGGGCCGGCCCGGTGGCGCACTGCTATAGTGCGCCGCTTGGGAAGCGCGGTGGCACTCCCGCCGAGGGTTTGGATCCCACATACAGACCGGCCGCTCACTGGCTGAGCGAGGTGCGGGGGGAGGTGTGGGGGCAACACCGAGGGTTGCGATCCCGTTGCCGGTCCCGGTCCGGTACGGGCGCTACACTGAGGGTTGCGATCCGTTGCCGGCCACAAAAAAAGACAAAAAGGAAAAAAAAAAAATGACCTGAAGGATAGTGACCTGAGTGTTACCTTTGTGATCATCAACCAGCTTGTACACAGATGGCATGCTTTTCCTTATGTACACTTCAATAGAAATTTTTGAATTAAAAAAAATTTCCCAGGTAAAGCTTTCCTTTCTACCCACTCCCCTATACTTGTCTCTTGGAAGATTGGTTTTACAAGGACGTAATTCCCCTGCTTCAAATAAAAGGCTTTTTCTTTCTTTTCTTTTTTTTTTAAAGATGACTGGTAAGGGGATCTTAACCCTTGGCTTGGTGTTGTCAGCACCACGCTCTCCCAAGTGAGCTAACCGGCCATCCTTATATAGGGATCCAAACCCTTGGCACTGACGTTATCAGCACCACACTCTCCCAAGTCAGCCACAGGCTGGCCTTAAAGGGCTTTTTCTAATCATTGAAGCTGTTTACATCCCCAAAATATGGTGGTGGTGTTGGGGGATGGGGAGGATACCCCACCCCAACCCCATCTCCATCTGGTTAGCCTCAGCACATTCCAAATTCAGAAGCCTATCCTCCAAATATACAACCCTATAATCACATTAAAGGGATACAGGTTTTTATCACTGTCAAACCACCTGCAGCTCTCTTAATATGAATTCTGAGTTCCAAACAGGAAACACCATCTCAGCGAAGGAATGACTAGAGTAATATTGCTTTTGTCAAGTGAGGGAGATGTAGAATGTCATGATTATCAACTGGTCACAGTCAACTGGCATTCATATTCCATAGGCTAACAGCTGAAGATGGGGTGGGGCTGGAGTCCCTTCTCTGCACCACAATTTTTCAGGATGCATTTGGGTATAAACACAGTTTCATTACCAGGGATAAGAAGTATCAAATCCTAGCAAGACTGAAATGCTTCCAGACTATATGATATAGACCCTTCTGACAAAGCGGAGAAGATTTAGAGGAAGACATATGCTGATATTCTATCTAAATCAACAGTTGTATGTTAGCATCATCAAAATGTGCCATCAAGAATGAGCTGATTTTTGACACAGCATAAATAAAACTCTTATCCTGACCAAGAAGCCTAATCCTCTAATAGTCTGAACTTTGAGGATAGAGAAACAAAAATATTCCAAATTTTAGTTTAGTCTTGATGATAACAGAACATAGTGCACTAAAAAACAGGGTATTGACAACTGCTCATTCGCTTTTCTCTAAATCATGCAAAGGAAAAAACACACAAAAATCTCTATGTTTCTACATAAACTTAGAAATAACAAATTAATTTAAATAACTGGTGCTCTAAATTCAAGTCATCTTTCCTAATGACACTGAAGCCTGACTTTGTTTAACTGAAACCTAGTTTCATTACTTCTCCAAAAGCTCCCCCCACCCATTAAAAACTGTTTCAATTGGGGTGTGTATGTGGGGGGGGGGATATTTTTATGACAGCTGAATAGAAAAAAAAGGAGTAATATGATATAGGCATCTCTAATCGACTTTCATTAAAACATATTTCAGTTTTACATTTTGGTTGAAAAGATCTGGCTAATTGTGATCTTAAATGAAAGCTACCAACACTCCCTTAGATATTCGTATCTATATCATATATCACACATATATCGCACATATACACATAAGTACATACACACACACACGCATTTATTTTTCCCCCAGATCCAAAACTATATGTAGATAGATTTTTTTTTTATCATGGATGGGTGTTGGATTTAGTCAGATGCTTTTTCTGAATCTACTGATATTGAATTAATGTGAATTCCAGTGACTCTTAGCAGTGGACCACTCGGCTCATGCACTGATGAAGAACACAGCTAGCTGAGATTATTAATGTGAATCTATTGATATAATTATATGATTTTTCTTTTTTAGCTTGTTGATACAATGGGTTACATTGACGAAGACAATATAACTAAACACATAGGTGCCTTATATTGAGAAATTTCAAACCACAGAAAAGTTGAAAAAAAAGAATTCAATAAACACCTATATTTACCAATTAACATTTTGCTATATTTCCTTTGTAACTACACACATGTGTGCATACACACATTTTTTTTGCCAAACCATTTGAAAGTAAGCCGCAGATACTCTGACACTTCATCCCTAAATATTTTACTCTATATAACTTCAAATAAAGACTGTGGTCTATATACACAACCTATCTTGGAGAAGAAAATAGCCACTGCTGATTTATCTCTGAATTCCTCGGTTTATGAATCTCATGCTGAGTTATTTCATCTGTAGCCCTTAAGGGTATCCTGGTAAAGCATTTCATTTCAGCCCCTACAATTTTCAAGTTATTCTCTGTTAGTTTAAAAGGTTCACTCCCAGGTCTTAGTGATTCTAAAACTCCAAAACATAGTTCATAATCTTTTAGGGGAGGAATTAAAAGACTCTGAGCACCAATAACAGCTTTGGACTCTCAGAAAAAAATGATATATGCACACATACAGTTTTCATAGCATTCCAAGGCTTTTATAGACGCATTAAGACTATAAATGGGGCCGGCCCAGTGGCGCACTGGAGAGTGCACCGCTTGGGAGTGCGACGGCGCTCCCGCCAAGGGTTCGGATCCCATGTGGAGACCGGTTCCCACTCACTGGCTGAGCGCGGTGCGGACGCAACACCGAGGGTTGCGATCCCGTTGCCGGTCCCCAGTACGGGCGTGACACCAAGGGTTGCGATCCCGTTACCGGTCAGTAAAAAAGACAAAAACGAAAAAAAAAAAAAAAGACTATAAATGGACCCAGACTTAAGAACCCTCAGTCCAGATATTTTAAAAATCTCTCTGAGGTCTAAAGTTTTCGAATTCGCCAGCTTTTTTTGTTACTGATGACCAGGGCCACAGAAAGGCAGACTGCTATTTCTGTTATTACTAGGTAACAAAAGTGAAAATGAACCACCAACAGACAACACTAGTGCTGAGATGCAACCTTATCTCACTCCAGCCTAAATCCTTTTAGTGGCTCCCAGCCAATCAAGGAGGACTGTAGCCAAATTTTTATTTTTTATTTTTTTCTTTATTTTTATTTGTTTTGGTGACTGACTAGTATGGGGATCCAAAATCTTGACCTTGGTGTTGTCAGCACCATGCTCTACCAACTGAACCAACCAGCCAGCCAGCCAAATTTTTAAAAATAACTAACTACACAGACAGTACGCATGGTTAATCTGTTAACTCTCTTAGAACCCAGGAAAAGGAGAATGGTTCCACTATGCAATTCCCCTTGGTTATTACATATAGGTTAAGACTAAAGTTTACATCAATACTTTCAACAGGCTTTTAATATGAGGGTACTTCAAAAAGTTCATGGAAAGATTCATACTAATTCTATTTTTCCAGGAACTTTTTTTTTTGTCTTTTTTTGTGACTGGTAAGGGGATCGCAACCCTTGGTGTGATGTCGCCCTTCCAGGAACTTTTTGAAGTACTCCTGTACATGCAAAATTTCCAATTAAGATTACTCTGCAGAAACAACATTGGGAATCCAATTTTACCTCAGACAGGCATAACACAGTGAGTTAAAAGATGTATTCATATTCCTTTGAAAAGAAAAACTTGTGAAAGGCATGGAGGATTTTTAAGGGTCCTCATTAATATAACTGTTGTTCAACTCTGTTGCTACTCCAAAAAGTCTGAACTTGCACAGGTGTGTGGACATTAACAATTATTAATGAGCTACCTAGATTAAGCTGACCTTTCTGTATCTATTAGTAAAACTGTCTTGTGGGTTTGTTCATTCCAGGGCTGGCTGAACAAGCCAGAAGCTTCACTCCCACTTCTTAGCATTTTAAAGCAATTGGATCTTTAAGTACAACATGATCTTTGATTCTTTGTAATAACAAAGACTAGCAGGTTACCAAATTCCACCAGCTTTGTGTCACCCGCTAACTACTTACCACAACTTTATTGAAGTCCTGGATTGCAAAATACAGGGCAATAGCAGTGAGTGCATCTGTTATCTGTCGAGAGAGAAAGCGAAATAATAGGAACTAGAACCCAACTGGTATATATAGGAGTAATGGAATGCTGCCAGGGCTTGAAGTTTGGGGACGGTGGTGGACTATCCAGTACTGAACTCTTACAGTCAGGCAGAACTTCAACCCTCACTTTGACTACCTGAAGATAAGGCCCATTCAGGAAGGTCTGACTGGAAAACCCAGTTAGAAACCATCTAGGCCCACTTCAGTTTGGTATCCCAAACTTGCTCTAAAATTGCAAGTTATTTAAGTTTACTGTAAAATGGGAATACTACCCACTGCTTTGCAAGCCTGATGTATGTCAAGTGTCTAGCACATAGTAAGTCCTCAATAAACAGCAACCATTTTAATTATTAAGGAAGATCTCAGTGGACTTCTTAGGTATTTCTTGACCCAGAGTTTCAAACCTAGACTAGACAAGTTTTTCAAATTGCTGTGCTCTCAAAACATAGTCCTGCAATCTCAATTTTGAAAGTTCTTGCCCCTGAAAGTCTCATCAAGCCTATGGACTCTTCCATAATAACTCCAGAATCTTTTAGCAGAATGCTTAGGAAATTCAAGATGCCTACCACACTGGCACCACAATTAAAGCCAATCATAGAACTGGAGCTAGAAAATTCAAGACTACATAGTGCAGAAGCCAAATTCTAGAAAGAATAAGGAATTAGAACTGGCCAGATGTCAAAGACTATTCCTCGCACTTCCATAACACTATCACAGTTCCATGAATTCAAACTAAAGATATGTTTTTACTTTCACTTTCTGAGAAACTCCTGAGTTCCTAAGACATTTTTTCTTAAAAATAAGAAAACAATAAACTGTAAAACTAAAAATACATACATATCGATTTTATGTGGAAGGTTACTTACCATAAATACCAATTCAGCATAGTCAATTAGGAAATGAAAGAGGTATATTATTAATGGAGTCTGCAGGAGAAAAACAAACACACGAAAAATTAATTTAAATCTTACTGCTATCAGATTCCAGAGTTCGGGGTGGGGGGGAAACTATTCTGTCAGCAAAAATCTCTGTTTCCTAGAATACAGTACTAGGCTGGTTGGCCAGTGTACATATGAGGGAGAATAACTTAGTATCACTGGATCATTTTGTGCCACTGTTGACTTGAGGAAAGGGAATAAATAAAATCTGACATTTGTTAAATATCTGTTGAGGAACTGTTAACACACTAAAGGTATGAGGTGAATTTTAGTTCTAAGACATATAAGAGAGGTCTTCAAAAAGCTCATGGAAGGATTCATACGATCTTTTAGTTACATTTTCCCACAAACTTTCTGAAGTGCCCTCGTATAACAGCCAAGGGGAACTCCATAGTGGACCAAGATTGCTGAACGCATAAAATGAACTGGGAAATGTTTTTCCTTCTTCTGTTCTCTCTTTTTTTTCCTTTTTATGAAGAACCAGACTGTTGCCACCTCTAATAAGTTTCTATAAGATTGTTATTTCCTCCTCAAAGATTTGGGAATATTCACTCACAGTTAAGCCATCTGGCCTGGGATTTCTTTGAGAGATTTTAAATTAAGATTCAATTTCTTTCACAGATTTGCTGTTTTTTCTTTGTCAATTTAGATAAGTAGTGTTTTTCTAAGAATTTGTCCATTTCATCTAAATTTTCAAGCTTACTGACATAAAGTTATTCATAATAGTTTACTTATTATCTGAGGCAATAAATTTTCCTACAAGTATAGTGTTAACCTATTTGTCCATTTCATCTAAATTTTCAAGCTTACTGACATAAAGTTATTCATAATAGTTTACTAATTATCTGAGGCAATAAATTTTCCTACAAGTATAGTGTTAACCTCATCACAGTTTTAAAATGTTGTTTTTTCAATATTATTCAGTTGAAAATATATTCTTTTTTAACTGATATTTCCTCTTTAATTGAGTCTACTTTAAAATGTACAATGTTTAATTTCCAAATATTTGGAAGTTTTCTTTTTATATTTTTATAATTGGTTTCTAGCTTTACTCTACTATGGTCATAGAAAATACACTGTATGGGCCGGCCCGGTGGCGCACTGGATAGTGTGCCGCTTGGGAAGCGCGGCAGCGCTCCCGCCCGAGGGTTCAGATCCCACATACAGACCGGTTCCCGCTCACTGGCTGAGCGAGGCACAGGAGCAACACCGAGGGTTGCGATCCCGTTGCCGGTCCCCGGTCCGGTACAGGGGCGACACTGAGGGTTGCGATCCGTTGCCGGACACGGAAAAAGACAAAAGACAAAAAAAAAAAAAAAGAAAAAGAAAATACACTGTATGATTTTATTTCTTTTTGGCAGCTGGCCAGTATGGAGATCCGAACTCTTGACGTTTGTGTTACAACACAGTGCTAACCAACTGAGCTAACCAGCCAGCCCCACTGTATGATTTTAATCATTCAAAATGTGCTGTGACTTGCTTTATGGTCCATCACATGGTTAATTTTGGTAAGTGCTCCATGTACACTTGAAAAGAATGTGCATACTAACATTTATGGGTGCAGCATTCTATATATGACATTTAGGTTAAGTTTGCTAATGATATGTTCAAATCTATATCCCTACTGATTTTTTTGGCCTGTTTGTTCTATCACTGACTGATAGATATAAGTTAAAAACCTCACACTACAACTGTGGATTTGTCTATTTCTTGTTTTAGGTATGTTATTTTTGCTTTATATATTTGAAGCTATGTAGTTAGATGGAGTTCTTTGTAGAATTACTGTCTTCTGGGTAGTAGATTCTTTTTATCATTATAAAATAATCCTCTTCATCTCTAGTAAATTTTCTCATCTTAAAGTGTTCTTTATCTGATCTTAATATAGCTACATCAGCCTCTTTGGGCTAATGTTCGTATGATATAGTTTTGTCTATATTTTATTTTCCATCTTTCTGTGTCCTTGTATGTGAAATATGTTCCTTAAAAGCAGTTTGCAATTATTTTTCTTTAACCCAATCTGACAACCACTATCTTTTAGTTGGATTTTTAGTCTATTTACATTAAATGTGGTTACTGATATATTTGTGTTTGAGTTTACCATCTTACTATTTTATTTTCCATTTGTTCCTTTTTCTCCTTCTTGCTTTCTTCTGAATTATTTGTTATTATCCCAGTTTCCCCTTTATTGGCTTGTTGGTTATACCTTTAGCTACTATTCTTTTAGTGGCTAACCTATAGATTATGACATACATCCTTGCCATTAATTATAGTATAAACGATCTTACCACTTCCTGGACAATACCTTTGAACACTTTTACTCCATATAGCTTGCTCCAGACTTTTCTGTTATTGCTGTTATAGTTTTAATTTTACATACATTTTAATTTTTTGGCAGCTAGCTGGTATGGGGATTAAAACCCTTGACCTTGGTGCTACAAGGCTGTGCTCTAACTGAGCTAACCAGCCAGCTCTAATTTTACCTATATTTTAAATCCATAACATTATTTTATATAGTTGATATTCATGTAGATTTATCCACATATTTACCTTTTGCATTGTTATTTATTCCTTCTTATATTCCTGATGTTGTTGAGGATCATAATCCTCCTCCTGCCTTTTCATATTTTTTATAACACAGGTCTGCTGGCAACAAATTCTATCAACTTTTATTTGCTTAAAAATGTCTATTTTGCCTTCATTTCTGAAAGACATTTTCCTTTAGTATATAATTAATTCTATGTTGGCAGATGTTTTCTGTCAGAACTGTAAAGATATCTTTTTTATTGTCTTTTGGATTCCACCATTTTGGTTGAGAAATTAGTTTCCATCTATTTATTAAAAATAATTACCTCCCCTTTGGCTGTTTTTAATATTTGTCTTTGGTTTGAGTTTTATTATGATATTTTTCTTTAAATTTATCCTGCTTGGATTTATAGATCTTCTTGAATTGAAATCTTTAGTAAACTTTGAAAAACTTTTCAGGCACTAATCTCTTCAAATATTGATTCTGCCTTATTCTGTCTCTTCTCCCATTTTGGAACCCCACTGGTATATGTGGTAGAGCTTTTTACTGTGTCTTATAGATCTCTTATGGTCTTTTTTGTGTTTTCTAACCTTTTCTCTTCAAACTTCAGTCTAGGTATTTTCTACAGACCTTATCTTCCAGATCACTAATCTTCTCTTTAGCTTGGTGTAATCTGCTTTTAAACTCTATTGTACTCTTAACTTATATTTTCCAGTTCTAGGGTTCACACTTGATTCACTTTTATATATTCCAGTTCTCTGGTGAAACTTTCTATCCTGTCATCTGTTTTTCTGAATATATTAATCATTGATCACAGTTATTTCAAAGTCTGAGTTTGATAACTCCAATATCTGAATCACCTGTGAATCTGTTTTTATCGCCTTTTCTTTTTTCTGTCTCTTATGCTTGGTAATTTTTGACTGAATGATAGACACTGTATACGAAAAATAATAGATGCTCTAGAGGAGGCTATTTTCTTCCAGAAAAGACTTCTTTAAGCTTCTGGTAATTAATTAGAATAGAATTATATCACTTTAATTAGGAATCAAGCTAATTAGAAGCTTGATTCAGTCTTTGTAAGACTGATCTATATCTGGTCTACGCTTACTCCTAAGTGTAGTACTTCAGAGGTCCCAACTGAAAGCCAAGTCATTTACCAGAGCCTTGCCACCTTGGTCATTCCTGCACTCAAATTTTTATTTCTCTAGTACCCTGAGCCTGCCAATAGCTCTTCTTATCTCTTTGGCCTCTTATTCGCCAATTTCTGTTCTGCTTCTCTGCCTCTGACTGTGCTCCTTACAAATTGATAAATGCTTCAAGGAGAAAACGGCTCAGACTGCTGGTCTCTTTTTTGGTACTTTCCTCTCTGGGCTCCTCATCCCTTGAGTCCTGGCTATCTTGGTACTTTCCAATGCCTTCAGACAGATGTTTTTTTGTATTCATCCCATTTTTCTAGTTGTCTTGGCAGGAGGGTTAGTCTGCTACTACAAGCCAGTTCACCAATCCACTAGAACTAGAAGGGAAGTGCATGACTTGTTTTAGTGAGCCCATGCTGGTGACTCAGGAGCACCTCTTCCCAAATCCCAACCATATGCAAAACTGTATCCTATAATATTGTAATGGCCACTGACAGGCTTTTTAGTGAAAACAAGTTAGCAAGGTAGAAGGAATAAAGGCTTTGGAGTCAGACTTGGGTTTAAATCCAGGTTCCACCTGTGTAACTTTGGGCAAGTTGTTTTCCCCTCTGAGCCTTCGTTTCCTCAGCTATGAAGTGGGAATAGTAATCTATTTCACAGGGGTCTTGGGAAATTAAGTGAGGTAATGTGTACAAAGCAATACGTTAGCTACCTGAGATAAACTTTTTTGGGTGGGTTTTTTTTTTTTTTTTGGCAGATGGCCAATACAGGGATCAAACCCTGAACCTCGATGTTATAGGCACCAAGCTCTAACCAACTGCGCTAACTGGTCAGCTCCTGAGATTAACTTTTTATCCCTCTTTGAAAACAGAGGCATGAACTTTGCTTTTCAAAGGTCTAAAAGGATTACAACTAATTGATTCTTTTTTTCATTTATCCTTGTTAGTAAGAAGTAGTAACATGATATTTATATTACCAACAGCTTCCTTTCAAAGTGTGTTGATGTTCCAGATAGCTTAGAATGGTTCTAAATAGGTCTCGGAAATATCATAACTAATAGTTTCAAAAAGCCTATCAGCAGGCCGGCCCATGGTGCCCTCGGGAGAGTGCGGCGCTGGGAGCCTAGTGACGCTCCCGCCGCGGGTTCAGATCCTATATAGGACTGGCCGGTGTGCTCACTGGCTGAGCACGGTGCGGGTGACCCCACACCAAGGGTTGTGATCCCCTTACCGGTCACGAAAAAGACAAAAAAAAAATTTAAAAAGCCTATCAGCAAATGGGCTGGTTTCCATAATGAACTAACATTATGCAGTGGTTAGTTTTATTGC